TTGTGACCCTATAGGACTGTTGGGTGTTACACTGTGGGAAAGGAGACCTGCTTTTATACTTTGAGCAAGAAATAAAGCGTTATAGATTTGCCTAGTTAAGAGTAATGACGTTTAAAATGACATTCTGCGATTGACCCTTAGAAGTTAAGGAGCGATGGAACAGCGAATTTTAGCTTGAGCAGGGTTAAAGTTTCCTCCCCGTAGCGGTTACCGGAAGAAAAAAATATAAGTCTTTAGGCTGACGCTTCTGACTGCAATAACATTAGATTCTTAATTCCACGCTGTTTGAGTAATTTGTCAGATTTTCAGCTTCTAACAGGGCTTATGAAGGGTTATTTTAAAGAACGGTATGTGTAGCGTTAAAACAACAAAGAATGCGCTCAGTCTCCTAAAACAAAGTAAACTGAGCCATTTTTTACCGGTTAACAAGTATAACTCTTCACCGACTGCAACGAGTGAGTTGAGAATGAAGCTCTGATTCTTCGATAAATTTGCTTCTAAAAGAATGAAAAGGATTGATTAAAGTTATCATCAAACAGTATTGAACTGCGGCCAGTGCTTGTTCTTGAGGTGGAACATATGAGGAGAACTAACTGTAAAAGGGTTCATGTTTTCCAATTTTAGTTGGCTTATGTGCTATTGGAAATCTTGCTTCACTGGTTACATTTTCTAGAGATCGCGTAGTTTTTAAGGCATTTTTAATTAATATCATTCTAGATGTAGTTCACACGTTACTGTACCACTTCATTAGGCCCTTTTGGAAAGTAACCAGTTACACTTTGATAATTCGTTATGCATCGGAGTATAACGCAGCACTCTTACAAGAAGAGTTACACGCAATCCATAACTGAATACGATTAATAAATTTCAGGTGATTTTGCTGGGGGAAATAGTTATTTTGACTTTTAAATAATGCAGGTTAAAAATCAGACTAACAGTTTAGTGAATTTTTTTCTTCTTGTCTATTCAATGAATCCCGGTGAGAAGTAAAAGTTATTAGTATTTGTGAGTTTTTTTCTATTTTTTGGAATTTTATGTGACTGCCCTCTGAACTTCCTGCTGCACTCAGTGAACTACTGAAGGCTCGGTGCGTGTGACATACACCTGTCTACAAAATTGCTTAACGCAATTATTTTATTTGTGAACAGAAACAAGAAAGGCGCATTACCTGTTGGCGTTATTGTAATTGAGCTTGCTTACCAGAAAAAGTCGCTATTTTTGGTCATCAAGTTAGCTTCGTTTTTTGTGTACGCGGTCTTAATTAACCGCCTAATTTACTTGTGACAGTTCCATATTTGCCTGTGTATCTTCTGAATAGTTTTTTAAAAGCCTATCGCTAGAATATCGTTCTAATCCTTTTGCTGTTTCAGAACACCTCTTTTGTTTCAGCGCGTGGTGTAATGAACGTAGCAAACATTTTGTAATCGCGATGCTAGATATCCGAAAGGATCAATTCTACGTTCCGTGCAACCCCTCTACACACGTTCCCTGATCAACGTCTCCCCAGGGGTACCTAATTGATCACAGTTTTTTAGTTGTGCACACAGAACTTATTGATCTGCTATATGAAGTGACTAAAGAAGTTGCTGTAAGAGTGACTTTATTGGTGACCTCATATAGTTGATCAATAAGTTCTGTGTTTTTGATCGCTTTCCGAAACAAATATTTATTTATGTGTCGAGGAGA